CTCTCATAGTCCCCAGTGTCTGTTGTTGCCATCTTTACATCTGCGTGCAGCCATGGTTTGGCTCCCACCACTTATATGTGAGAACACATGGTATTTGGTTTTCTGTTCTTGCATTAATTCATTTAGGATAATGGCCTCAATGCAGCTGCATCCATGTTGCTGCAAAGGAAATATATATATTTTAAAGGCCAGGTAGTACGGCCACGGTGTATATGTGCCACATTTTCATTATACAGTTCACTGCTGATGGGCATTTAGGCTGATTCTATGTCTTTGCTATAGTGAATAGTGCTGCCATGAACATGTAAGTGCATATAATTGGTAGAACAATTTATTTTCTTTTGGCTGTATATTGAGTGATAATGATTTGGATCTGTGTCCCTGCCCAAATCTCATATTCAGTTGTAATTCCCAGTGTTGGAGGTGGGTCCTGGTGGGAAGTGATTGGATCATGGGGGTTATTTCTCACAACTGGTTTAGCACCAGCCCGGTTGGTTGCCATAGCAAGTGAGTTCTTGTGAGATGTGGTCATCTAAAAGTGTGTAGCACCTCCTCACTCTCTCTCTCCCTCCTGCTCCGGTCATGTGAACTGCTAGCTCCCCTTTTACCTGCTGCCATGATTGTAAGCTTTCCGAGGCCTCCCTGGAATTCAAGAAGATGTTTCCGTCATGCTTCCTGTGTAGCCTGTGAAACTGTGAGCCAACTAATCCTCTTTTATTTCTCAATTATCCAGTCTCAGGCATTTCTTTATAGCAGTACAAGAATAGACTAATACACCAAGTGGTGGGGATTGCACCATTTATTGAATAGGGACTCCTTTCCCCACTGCTTATTTTTATTGACTTTTTCAAAGATCAGATGGCTGTAGATGAGCAGCTTTATTTCTGGATTATCTATTCTGTTCCATTGGTGTATGTGTTTGTTTTTGTACCAGTACCATGCTGCTTTGGTTACTGTAGCCTTGTAGTATAGTTTGAAGTTGGGTAATGTAGTTTCTTCCACTTTGTTATTTTTCTGCTTAGGACTGCATTGGCTATCTGGGATTTTTTTCTGGTTCCATATGAAATTTAGAATAGTTTTTTTCAAATTCTGTGAAAAACGATGTTGGTAGTTTGATAGTGTTGAATCTGTAGCCATGTTGGAATAGATACTGTATACTTATATCATTTTACACACATCTTGATACATCCCTGTCCTAAACTCTTAGAATATAAATTACTGGATCAATTAGTTTTTGCATTAGTAATTTTGATGGATATTGTCATAAAGTTTGTACCAATTTACACTCCCATCAGCAATGTGTGAGACTATCTGTCTCTTCATTCCTTATTACACAATGTGTTATCAAGGGGCATGACCTTGCAAATCTGATAACAGATAGGATATTGGAACAGCTTTAATCTATTTTTTCTGTTATTATGAATGCAACTAAGCAATATTTCATATGCTCAAATGCTATTCATCTTCCCTCTTCCATGAACTATCTTTTCATCTGCATTGTCAATTTCTCTATTGGGTTGCTGGTCTTTCTCTTGGATTGATGGAAATCCTTTGTTAAATAGAAAATGAAAGCAAGCTTTGTCTATATTATGAATTACATATATTGTTTCCACGTTGTCATTTGCTTTTGACACTGTATTCACATAATTTTAATAATAATAAAATATTTACATTATAAATTTCATACCTACACACTGGAAATTTCTGAAAAAGGCAAAAATGAGAAGAAAATAAAAATGACCTATCATTCCACAAAAAATATGTTTAGTGCTAATATTTTAGTTTTCTTTTTAGTGTTTTTCTAAAGATCTGCATGTAAATGTTGATATTAATGTAGATAAGTATCCATACAGATATATACATATATAAATATATAACATATATTAGTTACAAATTTCAAAATTCATGTTCTGAGATATGTTAAAAATACGTAACTTTATTTTTCTCTGAGACTGCTTAAACTTACTTCAAACCCTCATTCCAGCTTACGGGGGGATAAATAAAAGTCAGTTCTGTGTAAACTCAGAAATCATTCAGGATTTTTTCCTTCAAACCTCCATCTGGAAGTGGTGTCTGAGCTTTGAGGGGTGTTATGTTTGAATACAATGGAGATTTCATAGCCTTCAAGAGGCTGGCAGTAGGTTCATGGTGGGCATCTGCTGAAATATACGTGATCTTCTCTTATTCTTGGCTCAATCGTCCCTCTCATGGCATCAACTAAGATACTGGAGTTCTCTCTGATCTCCAGTCCACAAATTCTGCATCCTCCCATCCTCTGCATCACCCCATTCAGGAGGCTAGATGGTCCCAGTCATCTGACCACTCACTCTCCCGCACTACAAAAGTCTACTTTGAGTTGCATAAGCTAAGCATTGACCTAAGTCACTCTCTCTGTATTTCTATAGTAATAACTCTAACCTAGGGGCAGTGAATATAAAAAGTCCCCACTGCTGCCCAATTTGTGTGGAAAGACCAACAGTGAAAGAAATTGCAGAAGGAAAATAACACCAATGAATACTTCAAGTCCTCATCATGACATGTACCTTTACACAATTGAAATTATAGTGTAATTTGAGCTGTACACTGAATGTTGTATTTAATCTGAGGAAATGCTTATGAGTATATAAATTGTTAAATATAAAAGTTTGATAATTTATATTTTCCAAGTTGTTCAATCAATCAAGTGTTCAATATGTATACATTTATATTCACTCATTTAATCAAAACAACCCTATGAAACTGGCAGTATTATTATTTTAATTTCTATTTTATAGATGAAGAAATTCAGGTACAAAGGGGTTAAGTAATTATGGGAACAGCGAAGGGGCGGGTGAGAGGCAGGAGAACTGAATGGTGAGACATCGGAAGATGAACTAGACTTTCTAGTCTTTGGTACCTTTTACCCTGGGAATGCTTTACCTCTTATTAAAATAAATAAATATGTAACAGGACCTGTCGGCTGGGTGTGGTGGCTCACGCCTGTAATCCTGGCACTTTGGGAGGCCAAGGCGGGTGGATCACCTGAGGTCAGGAGTTCCAGATCAGCCTGTCCAACATGGTGAAACTCTGTCTCTACTAAATATATAAAAATTAGCCAGGTGTGATGGTGCGTGCCTGTAATCCCAGCTACTCAAGAGATTGGTACAGGAAAATCATTTGAGCCCAGGAGGTGGCGGTTGTAGTGAGCCAAGATCAAGCCATTGCATTCCAACCTGGGCGACAGAATGAGACTCTGTCTCAGAAAAAAAAAAAAAAAGGCGCATCTGCCATAGCCATTGCTGTATTATGCTCACCCAGAGGTGCCCATCTGTGGATGTGGCATGGTGGAAGAAACACTGGACCAGGATGGAGAACATCTGGGTCATGGGTCCAATCTACCATGGATGTTTCGTCTCTGGGCCTTGATATCATCTTTCATAAAACAAAAGAGCTTGGGGTGATGATCATGATGGGATTAGATTCTATCAGTGTTTCCTAATGTAACCTGAGTTACCTGAGAAAGTTTAAAATACACAGTTTCTCAAGCTCTCATAAACACATATTCTGATTTATCATAAGGACTGGGATACAGTTTGGGAACCTGTATTTTTCAAAAGGCCCCGTTTTAGGCAGTTCTGTCGTAAAACCCTGGACAAGATGATGTTTCAGGGGTTCCTCCCAGCTCCAAAATTCCACTTCCTGTGAAATACTGAGTATCACATCAGATCCAAGTAACCCATTCATCATTTACCCTCCCAACCCTGACCCTGTCCTTGGTCCTTCCAGCCCTTAGAGGCTGCCTTACTTCTAGCTCGTCTGAAAAAGAAAAGGAAATGAAAAGGGAAGGAGTGGGTCCCCTGATCCAGATCCTCATTCCCATCCCTCCTTGCATTCCCGCCCACCCCATCTCCTGTCCTCCACCCTGAATAGATGTTGGATTCCAGCTTCAGGGGTGCCATGGGCACTCCAAGAGGGTGACAAGGTACCAAAGCCACACATGGAGACAGAAATTTTGATCCATCTCAGAATTTACACATGGATCTGAACCATATGTGGATCTTAGGCTTCTTCCAAAGGAACTTTATTCCTTAGGATGGCACTGTGGGTATTTTGTATTCTAATTTCTCCTTCTGCCAGGCGGTCTATAAGGTAGGAGCTCTTTAAAAAAAGTGCCTAACATTTTCATTTTAATACAGCATTTTGGATATTTACGGATCTCCTTCCTGCTTGCTTCCTTCTTTTCTTCCTCCTCCTGCATCTTTTCCTTCCCCTGTCAAGGAAAAGCCTGGGGCTGGAGTGGGGATGGGTACAGGGTTCTGACCTCAGTTCTTCCCAACTATTTAGAGAGAAGTGTGAGTATTCAACTGACCATTCAGCAGAGATAGACCGTGCCTCACTGGCTTCTTGCAATTTTACGATGAGTCTCTCTCCATTTCACAGGGCAGTTATTACTCATGATTGATGTTCAGGGGCCAAACCTAACGTGTGGCACACTCCACATACCACACACAGACACAAACATTTGCCTGGCTCGCATGGGCCGGGATGAGGATGCCATTTCTACCTGGGAGGAGCCAGGTGAGCAGGCCTTCTCAGCAGCCTCCCCTGGTGTCGGAAGGAACAGGGCATTTGGTTATTGCCGGTCTGCTTTTCCAGGACTAGCATCCACGGAAGATGGGGTCCACTGCCAACCTGTGAAGGTGCAGGCGGTGAGCCCCTCATTCCAGAGCCAGAGCACGTGGCCGGCTTCCCCCTCCCATCTTCAACCTGGGCTAATGACAGCTGGCAGATGCTTGGCCACGATGACTGGTGTTTGTCGAAGATGTATTTTTACCCTCTGGACAAATGGCAGTTGGCAGGAGTGGGGCGTTTTTATGAGTCGAGGTACTCAGGGCTGGAAAATAAACAGTCAGTTAATGAGCCGGTCTTATGGAAACTGGCATAAATAATAACAAAGAAAGCATCCTGTCCCTCATGCGTGGGTGAGGGGATATAAAAGCTGCAGCTGGCTGGCCACGGTCAGTCTTGGGGAGCTCCGGCTGCGTTACTGACCTGAGAGCTGACCGGCTGGGATCATGGGGTGCTGCCCTGGGGACTGCTTCACCTGCTGCACTCAGGAGCAAAACTGCTGTGAAGAGTGCTGCTGTCAGCCGGCCTGCTGCGGCTGTTGCGGCTCCTGCTGTGGCTGTGGGGGCTCTGGCTGCGGGGGCTCTGGCTGCGGGGGCAGCTGCTGTGGATCGTCCTGCTGTGGATCTGGCTGTGGGGGTGGAGGCTGCGGAGGCTGCGGAGGTGGCTGCTGCGGGTCCGGTTGTTGTGGGTCCAGCTGCTGCGGGTGCTGTGCACCTGTGTGCTGCCAGCCCACACCTGTGTGCGACACAAAATGAAGACCTCTCCTTCCACCACCGATGCGGTCCCACCAAAAGCCTCCATCTGCTCCAGGGGGACAGCCCCTTCTGTCCAGAACCTTCCATGCCCTCAAGACCGTGTCTTGCCTTTTGTGTGATTTGTAGAGGAGGGCTTGCTCTCCAATGCCTGCCCTGGTCTTTCGAGGCACTGAGAACAAAAGCCATACTCTGATGAGACATTAACTCTGGGTCACAACAAAGTGATCCCTAAGCTCAAGGGTGAATCCCCATGACTTTATTTATTCACATGAAGTTCAGTGTCTTGTACTATAAGGCATCTTCTTCTTCAAGGTGTCTTTGGGACCTATCCTCTGCCCTGGCTTTCTGCTGCCTTTGAGATGCAAAAAAGCCCACCTTCTTTGTGAGCCTCTTAATAAATTTGAGCATGCTGGCATAACCTAATTAGTTCTCTTGCCTCTTCCTTGACCTCCCTGCTGAGGACTGGGTTAGAAAAATTTATTCTGGCATCTGCATTAGGATTTTTGAAATGTGATTTGTGGATCACCTGCATTGGAATCACCTGGGGGCTTGTTCAAACTGGAGATTCTGAGGCCCTCCCTGAGACATACAGAATCAGAATCTACCAGAGCGTGGCCTGGAAATCTGTGTTTTTAACAAGAACCTCAGATAATTCTTATACTGAAGTTTGAGAACCATAGATCTACATGGAAGCTTCCATGTGCTACATGAGATTCACTTGAAAAGCTTTTAAAAATATAGATCCTTGGGTTTTATCACTGGAGATTTTACCCATTAGCTCCAGGGCCCAGAGTCCCCTGGACCTGCATTTTGAAAAGCTTCTGGGTGAGCGCTGATGCTGGCCAAATTTAATGGTAATTGAGGGGCATGGCTTTCTTCTGCACTACAGTTCTCCTAGGATGGTTCTGCAGGAGGGCTTCAGGTTTGATCAGAAATTTTTGGCAAAGTTGGAGAGGAGGCTTTACTAAAACAAGATTGGTTCCGAATGGAAAGAATTTCTTTTTTAGATTTTTACTTATTTATTTATTTATTTATTTATTTATTCATTATTATACTTTAAGTTCTGGGGTACATGTGCAGAACGTGCAGGCTTGTTACATAGGTATACGCGTGCCATGGTGGTTTGCTGCATCCATCACCCCGTCATCTACATTAGGTATTTCTCCTAATGCTATTTCTCCCCTGACCCCCCAAACCCCTGTTATCCCTCTCCTAGCTCCCCAGGCCCCGACAGACTCCAATGTATGATGTTCTCCTCCCTGTGTCCGTGTGTTCTGGTTGTTCAACATCCACTTATGAGTGAGCACATGCGATGTTTGGTTTTCTGTTAAAGGATTTCTAGTGGCAAAGCTTGTGAACTCACAGTTTCGGAGGATGTTCTGCTCAGCACGGTTCCTTCTTCCAGCCTCACGGTTGGCCCGGTCTTACTTTTCTGTGCTAGGTTGTCTTACCTGGAACTGCTACATTTCTTCTGCCTGAGTCCTAGGGAGGAAGGAGTGAGTATACCTCTGTTAGGTAGGGCCCAACCAAGGTGTGTGGGTCTCTCTGGGAGGTTAAAACTCAAAAAAGAGTTGATTCGACCTCTGTTGAAAGTGACCTTAAGCTGTGTGTGGAATAAAACTAATTTTGCTCTTGTCCTGGAAAAATAATATTTATTTTTATGCCTACAAAGCAATGTTTCATTTGACAAAGAAATTTTTTTTTCTGATTATAAGCATAGCAATGATCTCTAAAACATGAAAAAATTAAAAAAAAAAAAGGACTGATAATATCCTGCAGGCTCACCACTCAGAGTTTATTACTGATAAGCTTTCCAGACTCCTTTCTTAGCATATTTATGAATAAAACTGAGATTATGATACCTTTACCTTTTTCTTTAATTTTTTATGGTCTTTATTAAAATATAATTTACATATAATAAAAGCTCCCATTTTTAGTGAACAGTTTGATGTGACCCAACATTTGTGTATACTCACGTAACCACCATCGCACTCAAGAGATGGAACTTGCCGTCAGCCCCTAAATTCCCTAGCTTGTCCCTGCAGTTCATCCCTCCGCTGTCCCCAGACCCTGGCACTCATCAGTCTGTTCTTTATGTTACTACAGATTTTACCATTTCTAGAATTTCATACAAAAGAAATCATGCAGTGTGATTTTTTTCATTTTGCCTAACATGTTTTATATCTATTCATCATTGCAGGTATCAATAATTCAGTTTTTCTACTGAATAATATCCCATTGTATAGATAAACCACATTAAAAATATATTGACCTACTTCTGGGCATTTGGATTCTTTGAGTTTCTGACTATTATGAATAAAGCTGCTATGTGCATTATTGTACAAGTTTTTTTTTTTTGTGTGTGTGAACATATGTTTTATTTTGGATAAATACCTAGCAACTAGAGGGCTGTTTAAATGTGAGTGAATGCTTAATGTTATATGAAACTGCCGAGTTGTTTTGCAAAGTGGCCGCAGCATTTTGTAGTCCAACCAGCAATATCTGAGAGTTCCAGTGTCTCTGTGTCCTTGCTGACACTTAATATTCTCAGTCTTTTTATTTCTAGCCATTCCAGCAGGTGTATAGTGGTAGCTCATTTTGTTTTCATTTTTTCTTTCATGAACCAACCAAGCACTATTATTAGTGTCTTCTTTTGGAGAGAACCTGAGATTCGACTCTGCCCTGGTTCAGTTTCAGACCTACTATTTGAGCCATTTTCATTCTGACTGCAATTGGCCTCCTAGGATCTGGCTCTTTAACCACTAAGACAAAGCCACATCGGAGCAGGAGCTGCCAATGGGACACACTTGTCCAGAGACCAGCGAGTCCACGTTGAGTAGCTGTGATTCAGAGCAGCTGACTATTCTATTGCTCATGGTCGTGCCTCCTGGATGCATGAGTGGAGGTAGTGATTTCTGAATTATTGATAAAGGCTTGCCCTTCTTAGCTACCCACAGAGGTTCTCATTTATTCACTCAATAAATGTTGATTGTGTGCTTCCAATGTATCAACTGCTGCTCTGGCTGCTGGGTATACATCTGTGAATAGACAAAGTCCTTGCCCTCATGGTGTTTATATGAGGTCAAGGGGTGATAAGAGCTATAAAGAAGAATAAAGTAGAAATGGGATACATAGTTGAATGAACTGCCTCTTCATTTAGCAGGGAAGGATTCTTCGAAGAGATGACATTCTGGCACAATAGATGAGTTTCTTGACTGAGAGAGTTAATAAGAAATTTGTTTGTGTGTGTGTGTGTGGGGGGGAGGGGCGGAACTTGCATTCACAGCTGGTTTAGCTGAGGAGTTAATGGAAAAGAGAAGGGTCTCAGCAGCTCCTCTGCCTTTCCCCTCTTCAGGGCTGTCTAAAGTCCCCTTTGCCACATTTAAAAGAATGGCACTGCCTGTTCTTAATCTTCTGTTTTCAACCACCGCAACCCATCTCTCATATTGCTTCAGCCCCAAGGTACTGCCCAGTTCAGGTTGTTGTCATGAAGCTTCTGGGTAATTACCACAGACCCCGAATAGTCTCCCTGCCTTCAGTCTTGCCCTCACCCTCCCTTCTCCACATCCAGAGAGCGAGAGCACACATCCTTCTGAAAGAGCAACCCCAATCAAGTTACTCCCTGGCTTAAACCCTCATTATGATTAAGAAATCCAACTTCTTGATTATGGTCCACAAGGCCTTTCATGATTGGGTGCCTAGTAACCCCTCTAGCCCTACTGCTTTCCCCTCCTATCCCCTCTGCTTTTCATCCTGGCTATGTTGAACCATTTGCTGCTTCCCAAATGTATTGTGCTCTATGTCTTTGATTTCCACATCTTATCCTTTTTTTGCCTTACGATCCCCTTTTTATCCACTCTCCTTGAGCCTTCATATTACTTGAAAAGGCTTTGCTAATTCTCCAAAAATCATGGCCTTTTTCTCTCTCTCTCTCTTTTCTTTTTTTTGGTGGGGGCAGAGACAGAGTCTCACTCTGTTGCCTGGGCTGGAGTGCAGTGGTGCCATCTTGGCTCACTGCAAGCTCTGCCTCCTGGGTTCTAGCGATTCTCCTGCCTCAGCCTCTGAAGTACAGCAGGAGTTACAGGCACATGCCAGCATGCCCAGCTAATCTTTGTATTTTTAGTAGGGATGGGGTTTCCCTATGTTGGCCAGGCTGGTCTCGAACTCCAGACCTCCCAACACTTTGGGAGGCTGAGGTGATCCACTTGCCTCAGCCTCCCAAAGTGTTGGGATTACAGGTGTGAGCCACCATGCCCAGCCTCCAAAACCCATGTCAATATCTCTCCTGAGTGCCTCCAAAGTGAGGGCCTCACAATGCTGAGAGGTCACAGGCAGTGACTCATGGCCACCATCATGTCTGGCAGTTGCTGTTTTAGGAAATGCCTCTCCATGCCAGCTATCTCTCTCTGCTGCATCTACCCTCAGCATCCCTCTTTCACAGCACTTGAATTCTGTACCATGCCTGCTTATAGATGTGTCTATCTCTCTTCTAAATTTTTTCTCCTTGTGGCCAAAATTGCAAGTCATTCTTTTTATATCCATCACACAGAACCCAGTGTTGGCTGAGTTAAGTGCATGAATAAAAGAGAAACTGAGTCAATGATTGCATCAATTAATAAACGAAGGCAGAGATGAAAGGACTGCACAATGTCTCAGCTTTTCCAAGCGAGAGCCTGCCTTTTGCATGGATGAAAACACATGGTGGAGGCAAAGTAGGCTCTTCACTGAGCCCGAGGTCAAGCTCTGGTGCTCAGAAACCCAGGATTCATTTCTCCCTTCATCTATTTCAAGCAGTAGCAAAGATGAGTCTTTTGTTCACAATGTCTTTGAGAGATACACCTGAGAAGTCTTGCTTTTACTCTTTACCCTTTGGGTCTTGGAGACTTGCTTTTTTTTTTTTTTTTAAAGGAACTGTCAAAAATCATTAAAAGCAAAGAAGAACCTGGAGGAGCAGAGAGGATGGGTCATGTCCTTTCCAGGGACCAGTCAAGCCAATGTTCTATGGTCATGGGAAGGCATGGAGGATGGTTGTGGGCTGAGCCTGTGATATGTGACTTTGATGAAGTCCTTTGAGAAAGCTAGGTCTAGACAGGTTGGTGAGGAGGAGGGACTGCAGTCTAGATCAGGGACAGGTTGTGTGTGGTCTTCAGCAAGTGACTGAAACTTTCTGACCCTCTGCTCCCATTTCTTCATTTCATTTTTATTTTTTGAGATGGAGTCTCCTTTTGTCACCCAGGCTGGAGTACAGTGCCATGATCTTTGCTCACTGCAACCTCTGCCTCCCAGGTTCAAGTGATTCTTCTGCCTCGGCCTCCCAAGTATCTGGGATTACAGGCATGTGCCACCACACCTGGCTAATTTTTGCATATTTAGTGGAGTTGGGATTTCATCCTGTTGGCCAGTTTGGTCTCGAACTCCTGACCTCAGGTGATTCGCCTGCCTTGGCCTCCCAAAGTGCTGGGATTGCAGGCATGAGCCACAGTGCTCAGCCCATTTCTTCATTTCTAATGGTGGAGAAGAATCTCTGCCTCATGGGATTGCTGGTGGTTTTAAGTAAGATCATTACTGCAGTCATTTAAATCCAGCCCAGTTGTTCCTCTCCCAACTGAGTTCATCATCTCGCCTCCCAATTAATCTCTGTATGTCTATTGTCAAACTTATCATTGTGTGGCAGTGAGTCTGTCTGCATGCTTATCTGCCCACCAGACAGCGAGATCCATGAGAATGGGTGAATAGGTCTTATTCCTGTGAGCCCAACCCAGGGCCTTCCTTGTATGGAAGACGAGAAGGTAGATAAATTATAAGTTTCATTCTTCTTTCCCTGTTCACAATGCTCAGAAATATAGATCATCCAGCTTGGAGGTGAGGATGCTTCTTCCAAGACTACCTGTAGCTCTGAGGATTCCAAATTTAGCACATCAATAAACAAACAGCTTCTTTATGGGTAGATAAACAGCTTCCAGATCAACAAATAGTGGTATAATAAGATGTTCCTCTGCAAACTGGCTCAACAGCAATGAGGAAAAGATGCAGGAGTCCCAAACAGAACGTCAGTGAGGGGGTATAAAAGTGAGGGCCTCGGGGAGCTGTCACAGTCAGGCAGCGACCTCTCAGCACTCAGCGCAAGGAAGCACGGCCACCTCCACCATGTCTGGCAGTTGCTGTTCTAGGAAATGCTTCTCCGTGCCAGCCATCTCTCTCTGCTCCACTGATGTGAGCTGCAGAGGCCCCATCTGCCTGCCCAGTTCCTGCCAGAGCCAGACGTGGCAGCTGGTGACTTGTGAAGATAGCTGTGGATCATCCAGCTGCGGGCCACAGTGCTGTCAACCCTCCTGTCCCGTGAGCAGCTGTGCCCAACCCCTGTGCTGTGAGCCTGCTGCGTGTGAGCCTTCTTGCTCTGTGAGCAGCTGCTGCCAACCCGTGTTCTGCGAGACCACCACCTGTGAGCCTTCTTGCTCTGTGAGCAGCTGCTGCCAACCCGTGTGCTTCGAGGCCACCATCTGTGAGCCTTCTTGCTCCGTGAGCAGCTGTGCTCAACCTGTGTGCTGTGAGCCTGCTATTTGTGAGCCTTCTTGCTCTGTGAGCAGCTGCTGCCAACCTGTATGCTCTGAAGCCACTTGCTGCCAACCAGTCCTATGTGTGCCCACTTCCTGCCAGCCCATCCTCTGCAAATCCAGCTGCTGCCAGCCAGTCGTCTGTGAGCCCAGCTGCTGCCCAGCTGTCTGCACCGTGCCTAGTTCCTGCCAACCTGTGGTCTGTGAGCCTGCCTGCTGTCAGCCGGTGTGCCCCACACCTACCTGCTCTGTGACCAGCAGCTGCCAGGCTGTCTGCTGTGACCCCAGCCCTTGTGAGCCATCTTGCTCAGAGTCTAGCGTCTGTCAGCCAGCTACCTGCATGGCTCTGGTCTGTGAGCCAGTTTGCCTCCGCCCTGTCTGCTGTGTTCAGAGCCCATGTGAGCCACCTTGTGTCCCCAGCACATGCCAAGAGCCTTCTTGTTGTGTCTCCAGTATCTGCCAACCCATCTGCTCTGAGCCCAGCCCCTGCTCACCAGCTGCCTGTGTGCCCAATCCATGCCAACCTACTTGCTATGTAGTCAAGCGCTGTCGTTCTGTCTGCCCCGAGCCAATTTCCTGTCCATCTACCTCCTGCCAGCCTCTTTCCTGCCGTCCAGGATCTTCTGCATCTGTCATCTGCCGACCAACTTGCCCTAAGACCTTCTACATACCTAGTTCCTGCAAACGGCCTTGTAGTGCTCTGGGTTCCTACCGCCAGCTCTCCCGTCCGATCTGCCGCCCGATCTGCTCTGGACTCCTCACCTATAGGCAGCCATACGTGACCTCCATCTCCTACCGTCCTGCCTGCTACCGCCCATGCTACTCCATCCTGCGCCGCCCGGCCTGTGTCACTTCCTACTCTTACCGCCCAGTCTGCTCCCGCCTGTCTTGCACGGAGTCCGACTCTTCCAAACGGGCTTGCAAAAAATCCACGTCCAGCCAACTGGATTGTGTTGACTCAACCCCCTGCAAGGCGGATGTTTCAGAGGAGGGTCCCTGCCAGCCCACTGAGGCCAAACCCATCAGCCCAACCACCCGTGAGGCCGTAGCAGCTCAGCCCGCTGCCAGCAAGCCTGCCAACTGCTAAACTGGCTTCGGCCCTCCAATTCCTGCAAAGCAAGCCACCAGCTAGAGACAAAACTGCGCTGTTTTCTCCAAAGCTCATTGTGACTTAGCTAGGAGCTCTTTCTTTCTGCGTTGTTACTCACCATCTGCTTACGCCTCAAAGAACTCATCCGAAATGTCAGTATCCTAATCACTTAACTGAAGGCCTCCTGGACAGCAAGAGGGAGACATTCCAGGTTCATGCCTTCTGCTGCGATTAAGCTGAGAAAAGCCGCTTGGCTTCACCATCTAGGGTCTCTTTCCTGACATGAAGTTTTTTCTGTCGTCATCTATGTGCTCCCTTGCTCTGCACACTTGTGTTCCTTAGGGACTTCTCCGATCAGGTAGAATATGTAACTGTGCAATAAAGGTGGCTAACCTGAAGCGACTTGCTGTTCTCTTTGCTCTCCCTCAATGCTGTAGTCTCATCAGTGAGTTGCTTCATCTTTGACAGCAGCTCCATTCAACCATCCGTCCACCCACTCATCATTCCTCAGGCATTATTAGATAGCAGCTCGGTGCCGGGGACTGTGCTTAGCTCTAAGAATACACATAAAAAGTCTCAGTCTTTGCTCTCAAGAAGCTCACTCTCTGGTGAGCTTTTGTGCAGAGTACTTGGAGATAAGCACAGAGCCCCATGAACTCAGCAGAGTATGGTGGGGGAACAAGGAAAGAATTCTTGGAGAATGTGATACTGGCATCAAGTCTTCCCATATGAGTAGGAATTAACCAGTTACAAACAGGAAAGCAAAAGCTTCCTAGGCAAAGGAGACATGTACAAGTGAATAGGGCTTGAGAGCAAATTGTTCATGAGGTGAGGCGTGGACAGAGTCGTTCTTAGAGGAATGAGCCATGCGGTCAGATCGTAGACAGTGATCTGCCTGTGTTGGGCCTTGCATGCTAGACAGAGGTGTCTGGGTTTGATGCAGGGCTGACATGAAGGCTTCAAGGGGCTGCATGCAGGGTGGAAGTGACAGGAAGAGCACTGGGTTTTGGAAGGTCCCTCTGGCCTTGGTGTGGAGAATTCAATTGAAGAACATGGTTCTGGAGATAGAGAGACTGGGGAAGACATGAAGCCGATCGTTTTGCGGTCCACAGTGGAAGAAAAACAAGAAGTGGGGATCATAATTGCAACAAAGAAGGTTGGGGAACTGAATTTCTTGTGTGAAAATTTTCCTTATGTTCTCCTAGTTCCTACGAGACACTCTTAGGATAAATTCCGTGTCTTATAATTGCCAAGGACAGAGTCTCTTCAAAACAGTCACTCCCTGCACTTAGCTCACTGAATGGAGGCCTATTCCTTGTCCGGCAGGTGCAGCTTGAGTAATCACAAGCACAGTGTAAGGGCAGACCAGGGCTTCTCCATTTCGGCCTTATTGACATTTTGGGCTGGGTGATGCTTTGTTGTAAAGGCTGTCCTGTGCCTTGCAGGATGTCTAGCAGCATCCCTGGCCTCTAGGAACCAGATTCTAGTAGCATCCCTTGAGGGTGACAATCACTAATGTCTCCAGACATTGCCTAACATTGCCTGGGAGTAACAAAGGTCACCTCTGTTTGGGAACCACTGGGTTAGACAACGGCAGTGGGAGAAAGTCAAAAGCAAAACTTATCCTGTACCCTGGTGTTGGAGTTACTTTCTCATCAAGCCATTGGGATTTATTGTCGTCTCCTTCCAGAGTCAAGAGGGGGGTTGGCCAGCAGGATGCGGTGGCTCACACCTGTAATCCCAGCACTTTGGGAGGCTGAGGTGGGAGGATCACCTGAGGTCAGGAGTTCAAAACCAGCCTGGCCAACATGGTGAAAACCTGTCTCTACTAAAAATACAAAAATTAGCTGGGGACTGTGGTGCACGCCTATAGTTCCAGCTATTCAGGAAACTGAGGCAGGAGAATTGCTGGAATTCGGGAGGCTGAGGTTGCAGTAAGCCAAGATGGTGCCGCTGCACTCCAGCCTGGGTGATGGAGGGAAAAATCAATCTAAAAACAAGGAGAGAGAGAAAAGAAAAGAGAGGAGTTGACTAGGGTTTTGAACCTCTTTGCCAAGCACTGGACTAAGGATCTCCTATGGATTACAGCAATTCTGTGTAGTAATATTTATTCTCTCTGATTTTCTCCTTTACATATAAGATGCGGAATTTGAAGGACAAACCATCCAAGTGCCCATCAATAGACAAGTAAATTGTGGTATATCCATACAATGGGGTATCATACTGTGAAAATGACTGGACAGTGGTGACCTGCAATAGCGTGGGTGAATCTTACTAACATAATGTTGACTGATATAAACAAACTCCAGAAAATCCTATGTGTGTGTATATATGTATGCATATTAATATAATGTGTGTGTATATACATATATACACACACTCATACATGTGTGTATTGTTCAGAAACCACAGACACCACATATGTATGGGTATACATGCACACACACATAAACACACATATATGCATAAATGGAGTGATAAACAAAATTCATGATTGTCGTGGCTAATAAGTAACATACAAATAACTAAAACCCAGTTCTTTCCAAAGCCTATGTTCTGTATGGATCATCATATTTCTCAGTGTGGTCACAAGGTGTCTTTGTTGGTACACTAGGTGTTTTTAGTGCCTTGAACTACAGCAAGATGGAAGTCGGATGCTCTCGCTATTGAGAGGCTCCTTTAGGAGGAAAGGAAACAAGAGCAGAATCACTTAGAGAAAAACAAATGTAGAACGGATTGCTTTAAGACTACAAAAGTGGCATAGGATATTGGATTGAAGTTGATGTGATTTTTCAAATATGCCTATGTTCCCATTTTGATTGACATATTTGGTAAGACCAAATGTATTAAATGTTTCCTCTGGAAGATGAGCTTTGGGGTGTAAATATTCAGCAACGAAACCCAGTGCATGGATTCCTGCAGATTGAAAGATGGCAACATGAATAGAAACAAGAAGGAGGGCCGAAGAAGTCATCCATGGCATGACATAGAAACCAACTGTGGGGAAAAAGGTGGTTCAGTGACAACGGGAAAGATTTTCCAGACATTTTTCTGACCAAAAATGTTTCTCTTCTTTTTAAAATGAGGGTGAGGAGGGTGCCAAGAAGAAGGCATTTTGTAGCTAGAGCTGGTGATTTGCAAATTACCCTCCAGCGTTTCCAGCATTTTCAAGGCAATCAGAAAAAAAAAAAACAAAAAAACAAAAAAACAAAAATCAAAAAACCAACAACAACTAACCTGAAACATGGCAAGGCAGTTGATGAATCTCCATTCTTTGAAGACTTAGGTAATTCGCTAACACATCCAACAGACTGCGTTAGTGGCAAAGCCAGAAATCAAGGCCAGTCCTGTCTGGCTCCCCGAACTGTGATCTTTCCATTCTGTCATGCGCCTCCTGCATGAACCAGGTCAGGATGTGGGCTGGTGTAGAACATGACCTGGTTGGTGATGCGGAGCCAGGACAAGCCCAGAGGAAAAGCAGAAGGGCCAAGAAAGTTCCGAATGAGTTCCCCTTGGAAGGGATTAATGTAACATTAACACCATTTTACAGGGATTTTTTTTTATTATCACTTCTGGCTGTTGTGTTTTTATTTTTATAGAATTCATATGCTGTTGATGCCTTAGGGTGGGTTTGATCCTTCTTGAAGATATATTTGGCAGTTTAAAAAATTTCCAAAATGAAAAGACTGTTTGGGTGTATTGATAAGTAGAGGTAAGTACTCGCACCAGTGTGGCCGAGCTGCTGATTAGTCACTGGAGTGGGCGGAGGAGCCCCTGGATGGGGCCTGGGCAACCTGCTCACCAGCCAGCCTGCTGCCCTCTCCCTGCCTCCCCAAAGTCAGGGGCTCTAATAGGTGGTTAAGAGGAGGTGTTTGAAGGTCAGACAAAGCTAGGTTTGAATTTTGTTTCTACCCCTTAACATTTGCATCATTTGGGGAACATCATTTAAACTCTGTGCGTTAGTTTTGCCGCTTCTTCTGCTTTTATCTTTTGTTTTTAAAAACTCTTGAAAAGAACCAATTTGGGGGAGATTCTAAGCTTCCTAAAAAGGCCAATGAAGTTTTACATTTTAATCTTAGCTTCGTTTTAAACCTGGTTTCTGCTTTATTTATCACTTTTTTTTTAGTTTTGCCACTTCTAACATAGTGATGGCAGTTACACTTACTAAAGTTACTGTGAGGATTCAATGAAAAGTGCAGTCGAGGGCTTGGTCTGGTAGCTATGCAATAAACAAAAGCCGTTTCTATTGTTATTAGCGACGGTACTGGTAAATAAGTTTCAGGAATGCTAAATGGGAAGGTTTTAAAAAGAGGTGGAGGCACTTAAGTGTCCTTGGGTTCCATGAACTAATTTTCCATTTCCCATCTTGACACCCTCTCCCCAAACTGGGTCAGAGCTTCATTTCTGATTGTCTGAATGGTGCAAAGCTGCATTCCTGGAGGAAGAGCAGGGCCACTCTGGCTTGGCAGAGGCCTCCTGATGAAAGGGTAGTGCTAGGAAGGGCCTGCTTCAGTGAGGCTGGGGAGCAACCTGTAAAAGAGACAGCTCATCCGGAACGGGAGCAGTCTCAGCGAAGCCAAATGCAGCGCAGAAAACTCCCAACTTGACAGGCACCTTTTAAAAGTTGGAACAACATCTCCCAGGCTCCTGAAGCCTGCTAATCAGATGTTTGCCTGCAAACGAGTAAAAACAATAACAAGGAAAATGCTGCATGTCACTCCAACACCCCTAGTGAAGGACTATAAAAGCCCCTATGTATCGGATGTCTTTCAAATGCAGGTATACTGAGCTTGCAACTTCCCAGCAAGGTCCACACCAGCACCATGGGAGACAGCAGTGGTCCTGGAAACACCACGGCCCTTCCAGCTGTGCCCACCATCTCCACATGCCCAATTAGAGGCGGTTTTCAACATGCTATCTGTTTGCCTAGTTCCTGCCACAGCAGGACGTGGCAATTGGCCACATGCCAGGAAAGCTGTCAGCCATCCAACAGTGCCCCACGTGGCTGTGATCCTGCTTCGTGTCAACCCACCTGCCTTCCAGGAACGTCGTGTGTGGGTTTTGTTTGCCAACCCGTGTGCTTCTGTGCAGCCTGCCATCAGTCCGGCACTGGTCAGCCTCCTCGTCTGGTTAGCTCATGTCAACCACCCTGCTCGGAACCTATGAGTTGTCAGGAAGAGTGCTGCGATGCCAGTCCCTGCCCACAAAGCTCCTGCCGGGAACCTGGCTGCATGTCTGGGTCATGTCAGGCAGCTTGTGGCCAATCAGTCGGCTGTGATGCCGGATCCTGCCAACCATCCTGCTCTGAAGTGACCTCCTGTGCTGAAACTTCTTGCCTACCAACCATCTGTACAGCTAGCCCATGCCAACCAACCTGCTGCCAAGGAAGTTCCTGTCA